TCAATACGCACTCGTGTTGTGTTCAATGTGATTCGGAACTGAAGGCGATAGGGACCGTTATTAAGTCAGACCTGGAAGGTTGTTCAGACACGAGACTGACATGTAAAGAGGCTGTAATTATAATGGTTTTCAAATCATCTAAAATCATAATCATTGTTATCATACCTCTAAGAAAAGGAATTATTTGAATAGGATTATTAGTTCATATGTGGCTAACTGAATAAGGCTGCATCAGGTCTGGGTTTTAAGGACTTTAAGACAGTTTTGAAGACCAGAGGAATCACTTCTGCTCATCTGAAGACCAGAGGCCCTGGAGCTGGGCTGTCACGATAGCGACGTTACCGACTCATTGTGCAGTCTGTGGACCACTAATGGTGCCATATGTGGACATGACCTCGATCATTTTTGCGGACCTCGATATCAGCGGTTGCGTCTATATGCCTTTTGGGATACATACGCATGTCGCCAACATTTTAGCCAACGTGATGGCGGAACAAACGGCATGATTTTCCCGACCACTAGAAGACCGGGCAGTGTGCAGGCTTGGCACATTTTTGTTAACCGATTGCTTTTTATTTATTGTTTTGGTTTCATTTTTTCATCTGAATATTCTTGCAGCTGCTCTTTGAAGAGGGTTCTTGCATTATTATGTTATCAGTGGCTCAAAATAGTCTATAAATGCAAATAGTATTGTTTATCGCAATGTTTATTTGGGACAATTTAGAGTCCGACAAGATTAGTTATTGTGATGGGCCCCATGTTGTTTATTAACAACAGTGACTAGATGATATGTAGTCCAGAGTAGCCTTCTGCAGGATAAGTGTACATGTTGAACTTTAATTCTAAGCTGTGTCTCATCTCATGCTGCAGCTTGCCTCATTGCTCACGGCTCTGAGCTGCAGACGGGCGGTAGGAAGACATTTGCATAGGGCACGTCCTCACCAACAGACTAGTGAGCAAGCTGCCTGGTCAGCGATTACCCGCCCACACATCCCCCAGAGAGTCGGCTTTAACCATTCCCACAGCAACCTGCCACCACTACCGGGTGTGTAAACAGAACGTAAAGGATTAGTGTTGAGAGGGATGGACGGGAAAAGAGAAGGAAGACAGCAGAGGGGAGATTAAACGCAATGAGTGGGAGTCAAATAGGGTTCACGCGTGAACCACTTCCTGTTCTCTACACCTGAACGAGACCAGAGGAGTCTGGATCAGATTGTTGCCTTTAGGCCCGACAGGCCTGTCATGAGGCTTGTTGTGGGGAAGACAAAAATATGGCTTTCCAGGAATAGAAAGAGCGACGCCATTGTTTGTTTGTTTTTTTTACTTCCAGACTAGCAAGTCAGAGGCAGGAACACCGATAGAAATCATGTCTCAGTAGAGTTTGCTTTCAAGTGTCTCTGGGACTGAGGGGCAAAGGACTAAAGGATGAATGCAGAGTATTAAGGGACAATACAGACAGGGGAGGAAGGTAGTAGGATACTCATCTCCTCTGGATTCCCAGGGAGAAAGAAATGGAGAATAAAGGAGTCTCAGCAGGAGTGAGGAGGGAAAAACAAAAAGTGAACAGACTACAAGACGGAGAAACCAGGAGGGGAGCAAGAAGAGGATCCTCTTTGAGCCGCTATAGGATGATGCACGGAAGCGAGATCTGGGAATTAGAGAGGGCACCGTGATCTCTGAGCATGAACATTGATGCTTCCATTATTCTCCATTTTACAACGTGGAGGAGTTCTTTATGCGTGACATCATACACTCGTCTCTCATGTGCATTCTGTCAGAACACGAGATCTTTGAACACGCGTGGCTTCCAAACTCTGCCGATCTCAGATACGGCGTGCCAGGCAGACGTGAATGTCTGAGAGGAGAGAATGTGTGAGTATCATCTTTGATACCTACAGTGAAGCCTCCTACAATGAGCAGAAACAAAAGTGAAATAGGTGATTGCTGCAGGTTCAGGCTCATAAGTTGGCACCATTATCCGTTTGTAGTGTCTGTTTTCCATCTCCACGCTTCATTAGTCTGGCCAAAAAAGAGACGGCTCAAACTATTCAGCCATCGAATAGCATACGAGTCTATCAAGGCACTAACTGCATAGAGATTCTACAGGAAGCCAAGAGGATAAAAAAAGGATATAGATCATCTCGTGGTTTCTAGTGGGGCGAGAAGGAGGGACCATGAGTGTCAGTTTTTATTACTCTAAAAGACAGTTATGATTTTATTTGTCAACCGTCTCCCCTAAAAGGCATCCAGGGGACAGAAAGACAACAAATGGCTATGAGCGATCGTCACAAATCAAAATCGATGCAGCTGAACCACAGATATCTTTTTATTCCACGCATTCTTCCTCCTAGTCAAACCCTGCCGCCTAAATCACCCACAATGCAACTCAAACTGATCGTTTGGTCAAAGTTACACCGTCTGGTTGGCTCACTTCTTTCCAACTTCTTAACCCCGTGTGTCTCGTTTTTCAACAAGTGACATTACCTGAGGCAATTCATGAGACTTCACACAACTCCCTCTGGAGACACAAAAAAAAAAAAAAACAACCTTATCCAACTTTCTTCACAGATGCAGTAGTTCTCCACAAGACTTGTAAACAAACTTTGATGTGTAAAAACGGTAGAGTTCCCCTTTAAGCTTAACACACACAAACACGACTAACCCAACGTTTCCCACTACGCAAGGCCAGACGCTGAGCTCAGAGGCACACTGGGACATCTTCCAGGATTCCTCCTCTGCTGGC